TCTCTCAATGAGAGGACACAAATCCCCTTATAATACAAGCAAATTAATTACATCTCAATAAAGCTTCCTTTTTATATCAAGCCTGAGGGCTTGTTCAGAGGAAAAACATTCATATTTGTGCAGGTGAACAAAAATCAGCTGTTGGTTTTGTTTGCAAAGGGTGTGTAAGGAACAGCTAAACAGAAATTATTGCACACACAATTTTCCTTCTAGGTTGTAATAGGTGTGTAAGGCTGAAATTAAAGAGATTTGCTCCTTCATCTGACTTCCATGTCTTTACTGTGAACGATAAGACAGTGAGGCCTTTGTGAAGACACCAAGCATGAGCAGGCCTCTCCTAGCAACTGCAGCAACAATATCCATTCACCCAGCCAGAGTATTCTACTTTGAATGTAGCTCAGGAAAGCCAGAGTCCTCAGCCATTAATTTGTAACTGCAGGCTATAGAAAAGCTGGGTGATGTGAGTTCCACTTAAAAGAAGAGAGGGTTTGTGCTCCCACTAGTGTATCACAAAACTTTTACATTTGAGACCAAGTGGTTTCACACACACACACACACTGAGTGTAAATACTGGGGTTGGATATGAAAAACAGTTAAACAACTGTGTGACTTGAAAACAGTGATTATTCTGTGGAAATACTGGAAAGCACCTTTAGACTTTGTGTTTCAAATCAAAACTCAATGCTTGTATACTGATTGTTCACTCAAAAACGAAAATTCTGTCATCAGTTACTCACCCTTATATTGTTCCAAACCCCAGGGGTGGACTTACCCATTAGGCAAAGGCAGGCGACCGCCTTGGGCCCCCAAAAGCCAAGGGTCCCCTAAAATGCTTTCCAATTCACTAAATCCGCCCCTGCCAAACCCATAAGACTTATGTTCATCTTTGAAACAAAAAGATATTTTTATTAAATATGCAATATCTGTCCCTCCACTGAAAGAACAGATTTAATTTAGGCTTTTATTCACATATAAAGATTGATCAACACACATACATAGGGTGTCTCTTAAGAAGACGTGCATTAAAATGTTAAATTCTTTATTTTTACAATGTCTTTATCAACGTTTTGAAGCGTCAAAGTTTTGATGGAATGGTCTTTTAATTGGAGGGGCAGAAATTGCTTAGGTGTTATTAAAAATATCTTCATTCTTGTGTGATGATAAAAAGTCTTTGGGGTTGGGTCGTTTTTGGGTGAACTCTCTCTTTAAAAATTGTTTAAAAATATCGGTTTTATGGAATTATACAACAGGAGAACCTTGCTAAATTTAAGAAAGAACACTCAGAAACCAATATGCTGATCTAAAGAACATGGAAAGCTTTGTGCATCCCAAAAATGAAAATTTGTTCATTAATTCATCATTTAATTCATCAGAATTCTGAAAACTGTATAACATTTCTTCTGTCGAACATAAAGGGTTTGATGTCAATTATGTCAAATGGCTGAATTACAATTTCTCAGTCGCTTTGGTGCATTTCTCAAATCATCCTTAATATTTTCAAAAAAGTATGTGCATTTCTCAAAACAATTCGTACAAACAGCACCACACAATGGATTACCTGCAAAAGCCTGTAACTTACCCAAAATCTTTAGTTCATCTCTCAAAGGTATTTATGTCAATGAACATATCAGTGCCATCAGAATGAAAAGTCCTTGTGTCATTGTTCACAAACAAGATAGTCAAAATGCTTAGTCATGTTGTCAATATAACAGTGCACTCTGTTACAGTTTTTCTCAGTCGATTTGGCGCATTTCTCAAATCATCCTTAATATTTGCAAAAAAAGTGTGTGCATTTCTCAAAACAATTCGTACAAACAGCACCACACAATGGATTACCTGCAAAAGCCTGGTCATTGTGATATAGAAAAGAAAAAGTAGTATGGGCACAAAGGCGAAAATATAAAATTAGAAAGGCAAAACAGAAAACACCCCTTAGGCAGAACTTTGCTTTTGCATGCAGCACTGTATGAGGAATCGTCTACACCTCCTGACAAGCCAGTCTGTCGGGCCACAGATTCTCATCTACATCACAACGAATATCTTCCCTTGCAAAGCAACGTGGAAAAAATATTTTGGAATGTCTTATCCAGCCTCTGCAGGCGACTACTGTGATGTCCTCACAGGCTACATCCATGGCAGCCAGCAGGGTCATCGGAGTATGTGGCTGGCGATCATAGACCTTCCACCTCCATGCTGAGTAGAACTCCTCAATTGGGTTAAGGAATGGGGAATAAGGTGGGAGGAATTCCATCAGCATCCTATAGTGGGTCACAAACCATTGCCTGAAGGCGTGTGAATGATGGAATCGCACATTATTCCAAATTACCACGTACTTTGGTAAATCATCTCGGAATGGACCCCTCTCATCATCAGGGATGAGAGTCCTGTAGAGGGTCTCTAAGAAGGTGAGGAGATGCTGTGTGTTGAATGGCCCTATACGGGGAATATGAGGAATATGGAATATGAGCACACATACTGATATTTCCTCCCCGTTGGCCTGGCAAATCAACAGTAGCTCTGTGGCTGATGACATTTCGACCACGCCTTCTGCTTTTGGTCAGGTTGAAGCCAGCCTCATCCACATATATGAAGTTGTGAGCTGGTTCACTTGACTCCAATTCCATTATACGCTGTATTCCAAAACACAAAAATAGTTTAATGAATTACATCATTTCCATTTTGGACAACATACAGTTACCTCAAATTTATACATATTGCATGTTTTTTTTTTTCTTCTACAGACATAGGAAATGTGTACAGGTCACTATAAAATGTTGTTGTATGTACATAGATATTTTACCTGTACATACTGGTACCATAGCTCCTTCACTCTGTCATCATTCCTTTCGAATGGTACATGGTACAGCTGTTTCATACTCATGTGGTGTCTTTTCAGCACCCTGTCGATAGTTGAGATGCTAACAGATTGGATGTTTTCAAAGACATTGTTGTCTTCAATAATGGCACTCTGTATCTCCCTTAGTCTAATGGCATTGTTTGCTCGGACCATGGTGCAAATAGCCTCTTCCTGATGAGGTGTGAAAAGGGGTCCTCTGCCACCCCTGTGAGGTAATCTTGCAGCTCTTTGGGGGGAAAAATGCAGAAATGGAAAATACATGATTTTGCACATAAAACAGAAAAAAGTGCACACACAAATATATAAAAATATACGTGTGTTTGCATGTTGCAGTTTGTATCTGTATGAAATATATTTGCTGTATGCTGCAAAATACAAATAAACACTGTTATTATGAATCCTTACAGCAAGTATACAGTATAACAGTACATTGCCCATTGGTTGACATACCTGTTCTCTCTACGAAACGTTTGAATTATTGAGGATACGGTCGATCTCCCAATATATGGCTGCACCCTTCGACCCGCCTCAGCCATTGTAAGGCAATGATTGACAACATGGTCCACGATAGTGGCCCTTATTTCATCTGATAGGTGCCGCTGTCCTTGGCCTCTTCTGCCTCTTCTGCCTCTTCCTCTGTTTTGCCTCTGTACCCTTCCAGCATGCATCCTAACTCCTCTTCTTCCTCTCGGCTGTTGACCCTGATCGTTTCCTGGATGTTCATCCATTTTTGGAATTTATAACTCTTGTGTTGTCCTCTGTCTATATATGTTTTCCAATTGAAGGTTCATTAGATGCACCTTTGAGCTATTTCTGAGAACTGGTTTGTCATTGGTTGATCTAAATTCTCTTCATTAGTGAAAGTCAAGATTCACCTGCACAATTTGTTCAAAAGAATGATAAACTGCTATTATGATTGTGCACAAGTGACTAGATGATGTGGAGGTTGACCAAGTAGTTTTGAGAATTTCATTTCTGATCTGAGAAATGCACCAAAGCGACTGAGAAAA